TCATCCCAGGGCGGCTTCATGATCCTGCTGACCCACAAGAAGGCCCTACAAGGAGAGCAGGCTGACTACAACATCATGAGTTGGCGATCCTTTAAGTTGCCACGAGTCTGCAGGAGCAGCCTCAGTGCTGAAGCCCAGGCATGCTCTGTTGCCGTCGATGAGATGATGCTCCTTCGAACGATGATATCAATGATGCTGGACCCCCGCCAGGACCCCAAGGACCCAGTGACAGCAAGGTGGGTTGGCGAGGCAGCTGTTGTTGTGGGTGCCAAGGCGCTGTACGACGCACTGAAGCGCCCAGGATTCAACAGCCAGCACGACAAACGCACCGGCGTCGAGATCATCTGCATCCAGGAGGAGCTGGAGAGACAAGGAGCAAAAGTCCGATGGGTGAGCTCAGAAGTGATGTTGGCCGACGGGCTCACAAAGATAGGTGCAAGGCAGTCCATGGTTGAGAAGCTGGCTTCCGGGAGAATCTGTCTTCACTTCGACCCGAACTTCCTTGCGGCGAAGAAGAAGACGGCCTCTGACCGTGCCTACGGCTCCCAAGTGGCGAGGAAGAACGCCCAGGTGCTGGCCGTGAACTCCCTGTGCGCTGCGGGCGACGCGGCGACCGACTTCGGGGACCTTGACACAGCCCGCTACTACACGAACGACCTGGGAGCCGACATGCTGTACATCGACTACGACCTCAACAAGGTGCTGGCGCTCCTCGTCTTCTTTGGGTGCACTCTCCTCGTCATCGCCTGCGTGTGGAAGTGGTGGAACAAGGGCCAGCGCGGCCCACCGGACCCCTCGGAGGTTCACGAGAACTTCGTCACCACCGGGACCCAGACCACTGGAGACACTGAGAAAATGACAATGGAGATGTACGTTGGACAGCTGGAGTCGGAGAACGAGTACTTGCAAAACGAGATGATGAAGCTTCAAAGGTCCAACCGCAGCCAGTTGGAGCTGATCCAGCTCATGCGTGAACGCCAAGGGCAACCTCCTCCTGCTTCCCAACCTCGGCCCCAGCCTCGCCTACGGCTTCCCGAAGCAGTTTTCGTGACGAACACTACAAGGGGAACCTGTGTTCACGCCTCCTCGGATTGTGGACACATTCGAGGGCATGGACAACGCCGTCTCACTTTGTGCAGAGACTGCCAGTGGCCAGGCCAAGGCTGAGGGAACACT